AGGCCACGATAAGGTTAACAACTTCTTGGGGTATGCGTTCGATGACAGCACCACATCGTTCTGCATGTGACTAGAACCGCAATTCATTTAGGCAACGATAAGGTTCACCACTTCTTTGGGTATGCAGTTCCGCTCCTATGAAGTACCCCCGCCGGGGTGGTGCATGCCCTCATTGGACATCCCCGATGAACCTGCGCCTGCTGATGATGGCATGCTGTACAAATGTGAATGTTGCCTGGATGATGGTTCTGTGTGTGGAGAGACTTTTCCCAGCAAGCAGCAGCTTGTTCAGCACATGCGTTGGACACGTGGCGGAACACACGGAGAACTCCCACAGTACTTTCGGGCTACCATCACAAACCAATGTCCGTGGTGTCGTCATGTATTTGCAAACATTCGCACCGCACGGCAACATGTACGCGCATCTTTGCAACGCAAGAGATGCACCGGTCGTGGTAGTTTCACTGTATTGGAGCCAGTACTACCAGCTGATTACATGTGTCCTGAGTGTGATTTTACAGCGACTTCACTGGATCAGCTACATGATCATGTGGTTGCTCACTTTGGTGGCCCTCACGTGGGGCCTGAGTGATGTCCCCTGTAGCCTTTTGTTGACTCAAACGTTCCAGGGGCCCGCTTGCTTCGCTAGTGTCGTCATGGATGGGTGGGACTTGACGAAGCGGGCAGGTGAGGGCAAGCCTCACGCGTCACAGAAACGGCAGGCCATCGGCACAGAGGCGTTACTGGCAAAGGCCATGCTTTTGGTGTCGAAGTTAACTCTGAAAGCAGAGCTTGAAGTGCGTGAACTACAGGCTGCGACGTTTCGTACCCTCACCATCACCGAGATGTCAGCATTTGTCACTGAAGCCCGTGCCACTATGAAAGCCTACACAGCTGCCAGCAAGCAGGCCCGTGACAATGGTCAGCCTGCTCCGCTTGGTGAGCCTCATGTTCATGTTTGGTCATGCTTCTTGAAGGCCGCATTGGATGTGCAGGGCATGTCGGAAGAGCACGTGCAGCGCATCAACGAGCATCGAGCGCAATCAGCAGATCCGCATGCGCTGGCTCAGCTCATCTTCGTTTGCAAGATCAAGAAAGCCTATGATCGCGGCATCGTTAAGGTGCACTTGGCGGGGCATCAGCAGATTGATTCGGTCATTGATGCTGTTGTCGCGGCCATGGTACTCAGTGGTGCGAGGGAGCGGCGTGGACAGGCGCCTCAATCCGGCATGGCAAGGGAGCTCCAAAGCCTTGTCGATGAGTTGCAAGAAATCACAAAGTGAGCAGGTCCCAAGCAGGGCGATGTGAGCACTGTAGGAGGGTCAGACGGATGTTTGAGTTTTATCTCCTGGGGCTCATCTGAGCCTGGTGCTGGGCAGAGTCCGGTGACAGCTTTTGTCAGGATGCGCCACTGGCAGCATCATAGATCTTACTACCGAGGGAGTGCTGCGACTGCAGCCTCTTGCTCCTCNNTGCGACAGAGGTTGAAGAAGAAGAAGGACGGACGAAGAGGGCATCATCGCAGTTCAGCTTCATTCTCACTCGCACCAGTACCACCACTACTACCATTGACATCTTTACCACAATTCCCGCCACCATCGCTATGAGGGCCCTTGTCAGAGTCTATTGTTGTTAAACTGTT